TCAAAAGAACTAAGTATGAGAATGATAGTAAAACACAAGAATGATGTGTCACCAAATAAAGAATGTCAATGAAAAGATAAAAAGTATTTTTTAAAAAGGAATTAAAATTTTGGAGTTTTAAAAGTTTAATAACTGAAATTTTTAAAAAATGCTAGAGGGGCTAAATAGCAGAGTTGAGCAGACAGAATAAAGAATCAGCAAACTTGAATAAAACATAAGCCAGTTGAAATTATCCTGCAGAAGGAAAAAAAAATAGAAAGAAAATGAATGAAGTCACAGAGACCCAAGGGATGCCATTAAGCATGTCAATATACACATTAATGGAAGTCCTAGATGGAGAGGAGGAAAAGATAGAATGTTTGAACAAATAGTGGCTAAAAACTTCTCAAATTTGATTTTTATTTTTGAGTCAGGGTCTCACTCTATTGCCCAGGCTGGAGTCCAGAGGCACAATCCTAACTCACTTCAGCTGCAGACTTTTGGGTTCAGGTGATCCTTCAACCTCAGTCTCCCACAAAGCTGGGACTACAGGTGCATGCCATCACACCCAGCTAATTTATTTTTATTTTTATTTTTGTAGAGACAAGATCTTTCTCTGTTTCCCAGGCTGGTCTCAAACTCCTGGGCTCAAGTAATCCCCGCACCTCAGCTTCCCAAAGTGCTGTGATTAGAGGCATGAGCTGCCACACTCAGGCTAAATTTTATTTTATTTTTTGTTTTTTTGTTGATTTGTTTTGTTTTTGTTTTTTGAGACAGGGTCTTGCTCTGTTGCTCAGACTGGAGTGCAGTAGCAAAATCACAGTTCACTACAACCCTGATCTCCTGGGCTCAGGCAATCCTTCCACCTCAGACTGCTGAGTAGCTGGACTACAGGTGTGTACTACCATAGCCCAGCTAAAAAAATTTTAAATTTTTTTCTTAGACTGTTCTCAAACTCCTAGGCTAAAGTAATCCTCCCGCACCTTGGCCTCCCAGAGTGCTGGGATTACAGGCATGAGCCACCATGGCTAGTCCAAAATTTGTAATCCAAGTGAGATAAACTTGAAGACATGCACATCTATATAGTTAATAATAATATTTTCATAGCTAAAGTCAAAAGGGGATCCTGAAAACAATAAAAGGGAAGAGGCTCGTCACATACAAGTGGTCTTCAATAAGATTGAAAGCTTCTCTCTGAGATTCATGGTTTACAAAGGCAGTGAGATAACATATTCAAAGTGCTGGAAGAAAAGACTGTCAGTCAAAAATCTATACCCAGTCAAACTATCCTTCACTAATGAAAGAGAAATTAAGGCACGTTTAAATAAATAAAAATGGAGAGATTGTGTCACTAGCCGACCTGTTCAACATGAAATATCAACCCAATGAAGTCCTCTAGGCTAAAATGAAGGATATTAGATAGTAACCTCAATTCATAAGAAGAATATCAGTAAATATAATTACATGGAAAAATACAAAAGACTGTGTACTGTTGAAGTTAAATTCGTAGCAATTCAAACTAGATTGTTATGTGAAGATTTTAATTGTAATCTTTAGAAAAATCACTAAGAAAATTATACCAAAAATATAGTCAAAGAAATTACAAAAGGCTGAGCATGGTGGATCACACCTCTAATCCTAGTGCTTTAGGAGGATGAGGTTGGAGGATTGCTTGAGATCAGTAGTTTGAGATGAGCCTGGGAAACATAGTGAGACCCGGACTCTACAAATAAATAAATAAATAAATAAAAATTGTCCAGTCTTGGTGATATGTGCCTATAGTCCTAGCTACTTGGGAGGCTGAGGCAGGAGGATCACTTGAGTCCAAGAGTTCGAGGTTGCAGTGAACTATGATCATGTCATTTTACTCTAGACATAGAGTGAAACCCTGTTGAAAGAGAGAGAATGGAAGGAAGGAAGGGGGAACAGAGGAAGGAAGGGAGGGAGGGAGGAAGGAAAGAAAGAAAGAAAGGAAGAGATAAAGAGAGAAAAAGAAAGTGAGAGAGAAATGACAAGAAAACAAAAATGTCACACTAAAAATATATATATTTAAACACAAAAAGAAAGTAATGAGGAATACAATAATATATAGAAAACAAATAGCAAAAAGTCAGCTATAAATCCTACCTAGTAAGTAATTACATTAAATATAAACACTAACTAAAAAGGCTCTCCTTTAGACTGTCTAAATGGATAAAAACATGGTATAATTGCAGGCTGTCTACAAGAGCCATATTTTAGACATAGAGATACAAATAAGTTGAAATTATAAAGATAGAAAAAGATATAATATTCAAAGAGTACAAAGGAGAGCTGGAGTGACTACTAATATCAAACAAATGGTCTTTAAGGCAAAAAATGGTATTAGACACAAGAATATTTTGTAACAATAATGCATCAGTCCACCAACAAGATGAAAATAATAAGATCATATAGAGTATGTTTTCTTTCAAAAATAGAATTACGTTAAGGATACAGAACGGTAAGATACCTATGAAAACCCCAAATATCTAGTAATTAAGTAACATTTCTAAATAATACATAAATCAAAGCAGGAATCACAAGAAAAATTAAAACACAGAATTGTATTGCTAACTCAGTGCTTAAAGGGAAAGCAGTAGTAGTAAATGCTCATAAATAAAAATGAGCACTGAGCAGTTTGTCTGACAAGACCAACATAACTCTAATAACATCACTAGAGAAAAAAATATTACCAAATAAAGGAATGGAAACTTGCAAATCAATATTCCTATGAACATGGATGCAAAAATCTTTAACAAAATATTAGCAAATAAGATTGATTAATATATAAAAATAATGATATATCATGATGATTTATTATCCCAGTAATACAATGCTAATTGAACATTCAAAAATCAATCCATATCATTCACTGTTGAAAGCATAAATGGACACAAAAAAACACATTTGACAAAATGTAACACCTGTTGATGGTTAAAAGAGAAAACTTTCAGCAAGATAGAAGAATATTTAGAAAACCCCCTCACTCTGCTAGAGTGTACCTATCAAAAAACCTACATATAATATCATACTGATGTTTATTTATTTATTTATTTTTATTATAAAGATGTAGGGTACAATTCAGGGTTAGGTATACAAATGTTGATTATGCAGTTACCCTTGTTGATGTGGTATGTCCCTCCCTTAGCAGTTTCGCTCAACTGCCAATCCCACCCCCCTCCCCTGACAGTTTCCCACTACTGTCAATCCCTTTCTTATAGAATTATAATTTATACTTATGTTTAAAGACTGTTTTCTTTTATGATCAGGAATAAGGTAAGGATGCTCTCACTCACCATTGTTATTCAACATGATGGTAGGTGTTGAAGTCAGTGAAATAGGTTAAGAAAAAGAAATAAGGGTCAACAAGTTCAGGAGGGGAAAGCGAAACTTTTTATTATGGTTGTTTATATAGAAAATTCCAAGGAATCAACAAGAAAACTCATTAGAACTAGTAAGTGAATTTAAACTTACAGAATGTAAGTTTAATATACAAAGTTAAGTATTTTTACCTGCTAGTGGCTGAAAATTGAAAAGTAAATCTTTAAAAAAGTTCAAAAGACACATTAAATAAATACTGAGAAATAAAGTTTAAAAGTTATTTCAGATCTCTACGATAAAGGTGCAAAACATTGATAAAAAGAAATTTAAAATGACTGAAATAAATGGAGGAATATACTTTTTTTTTATTGGAAGACTCAATACTATTAAGATGTCAGTTTCTCCCCAAATTAAACAATATCCTCAATGCAATCCCAATCAAAGCTGCCAGTGGAAATTTGTAGAAATTACTGAGCTGAATTAAAAATTTTCATGTGCACAAAAATGCCTTAGAATAGCCAAAGATTGTTTTACAAAAAAAGTAAAACTGGAAGACCTGCTTTGAGGACTTGCTGTAAAATTACATAAGTAAAGACAGTTTTGAATTGGAGAAAGTTAGACACACAGAACAATTAAAAAAGTCAGAGAGTTCAGAAACAGCCTCACATTATATGTTCACTTGTTTATGAGCAATGGTGCCAAGAAAATTCAACAGGGAAATTTTTAAAAATTCAACAAATGATTATAGAACTAATGAAATCTTTGTATATATATATAAAAGTAACCTCCAACCTAACCTAACACTTTTCACAAATAGTAACCAAAGATGAGGGAGAAGCATAATTATGAAAGCTACAATTATGAAACTTCCAGAAGAAAATTATGAGAAAATTACTACGATGTTTTCTTAAGCAAAGATGTGTTACATAGGACACCAAAAGCATAAGATATAAGAGAAAAATAAATGCAGAAACCGGACTTTATCATTAAGACACTATAATGAAAAAGAAAGAACAAACCATAAACTAGGGGGAAAAAAATCACAGCACATATGTCAGATAAAGAATTTGTACCCAGAACATATAAAACTCTTATAATTTAAAACAAATAACCCAATACAAATGACCAAAAGATCGGAACAGATATTTCACAAAAAAAATATACAAATGGCCACTACGGATATAAAAAATGCTCAACATCTTTACCCATCTGAAAAAAATTCAAATTAAATAATGTAGAATACACATTTATTAAAATGAGAAAAGTAGAAAAGACTAACAAAAATAAGTGTTGGCAAGTATCTGGAGCAACTAGAACTCTCATACACTGAAGTGGAAATGTGAACAGCACACCATTTTGGAAAACAGCTTGGAATTAAAAAAAAATAAATAAACACATAGTTACCACATGACCTTGTTGCTCTATTTCTGTATATCTTCCAAGAGTAGAGAAAACACATGCTCACACAAACCTGTACACAAATATTTATAGCAACTGTTGGCAATAGATAAACAGTAACAATAAACAAAATTCCATTGACAAGTGAACGGATAGAAAAAATGAGTTACATACATACTATTACGAAACATTATTTAGCAGTAAAAAGGAACAAACTATTAATATATGCAACAACATGAGTGAATCTCAAAAATCATTGTGCTGAGTGAAAGAAGACAGCCGGCCTCGAGATGCAGGTGGCTCTGGAGATCACTGCTCGCTACTGCGGCCGGGAGCTGGAGCAGTATGGCCCGTGTGTGGTGGCCAAGCCTGACTCATGGCAGCGAGACTGTCACCACCTCAAGATGAGCATTGCTCGATGCACATCCTCCTACCCAATCATCCGCCAGATCCGTCAGGCTTGTGCTGAGCCTTTTGAGGCCTTCGAGGAGTGTCTTCGACAGAATGAAGCAGCCATGGACAACTGTGCCGAGCATGTGCGCTGCTTCCTGCAGTGCGTCGAGCAGGTGCAGCTGCCACGCTCACCCACGACTGTGGAGGCACAGTCACTTCCTGCTTCCTGAGAACTCCCTCGACTACGGGAAAACTGGACATGGGTGACTGGCCACTTGATGCCCCACCCCCACAGAATGGCCAGATGGAGTCCTGTGGGCAGTGGGCCTGGCTTTCCTGGATATCAGGACTTCCAATAAATAAAGACTCTATATACTGGTTTTGAAAAAAAAGAAGACAGACATTAAGAGAATATAGTTGCGAGAAACAAACTTACCCATCTAAAATCAAAGGACAGACACGGAGACATGGAGTATAGCAGAAGCAAGACTTTAATGGCAGTCTTTCAAGACTGAATGTCTGGTAGGCAGGTATACCCCAGGCAGCTACAGCAAGCCATTTATTCCCTAATGTGCAAATCCCTTTCCCGGTTCCTCATTGAGTATTTTGGGGTGTACAATCTTTCCCAGAAGTTGCCTAAGTTCCATTTTTCCCCCCTTGTAAGCTTACCCCTGGTTCCCTTCCCTGATTAAGTCTCTATTTTCTTAAGAATAGCTATTGTCTTCTCATTGGCCCATTTCCATCTCCTGCTTGTTTAGCAGCCCACCAAGAGCTGGTGGCTGAAGACTGCTACATTCGTCAGCCTGCTTAGATAGGCCTTGAAAATGAACCACCAGAATATTTCTTACAATAGTGTAGAATTCCATTTTTATAGAAATCTTTAAAAATGCAAACGAATCTATAGAGACAAAAAGAAGATAAGTGATTTAGGGATGGGGTGGAGGAAGAATAGATTGCAAAGGGGCATAGAAGACTTTTGGATGACTGAAATGGTTTTTAAAAAATTTTATTTTGGTGGTGGTGTGAATTCTGACAAATATATATAATTTATCAAAATTATATATTAAGTATATATTCAACTAATTGAACATACATTGTACCTCAATACTGCTGTTTAATTAAAAAGTCAAATAACAAGTATTGGTTAGAATGTGGAGAGACTGGAATCCTCATATACTATCAGTGAGAATGTGAAATGGTGCAATTGCTTCCAAAAACACTGGCAGTTTCTCACATGATTAGAGTTACTACATTACCTAGTAATTTCAGTTCTAGATATTTGCTAAAGAGAAATGGAAACCTACCCACAAAGAAACATGTACATGAATGTTTATAGCAGTATTATTTGCAATAGCCAAAAGTTGGAAACAAATGTTCATCAACTGATGAATGAATAAACAAAATGTGATATATTCATACATTAGACTACTCTGTGATCATAAAAACAAAGGATGTGTCTGCAAGCTGGCCAATAGGATGCCCTGGGCTTCACTCCATCTCACAGAAAGTCTAACTAGCAAATATCCATAGATACGAACATCTTTGTAAAAACCTCTGTATTAAGGTCTTCCAGAAAAACAGAATCAATGGGAGGGAGGGAGGAAGAGAGAAAAATAAAGAACGAGAGAAAGGTATGAGGGAGATTATTAAGGGATTTGGCTCACACTATTATGGAGACTGAGAAGTCCACAATAGGCTGTCTGCAAGCTGGAGAATTAGGAAAGCCAGCAGCATGGATCAATAAAAGTCTGAAGGCCTCAGAACTAGAAAAACTGATGGTGTATCATTCAATCCTAGGCCAGACCTAAGAACCCAGGGGATCCACTGGTGCAAGTTCCAAAATCCAAAAGCCAGGATTTTGATGTGCAAGAGCATAAGAAAATGGTGTCCCAGCTCCAGAAGAGAGAGAAAAATTTCCTTTCTTCTGACTTTTTGTTCTAACCAGTCTCTCAGTCGACTGGATGGTACCTACCTACACTGGGTGAGGGTCTTATTCAGTCTTCTGATTCAAATGCCAGTAGCTTCTGGAAACACCCTCACAGACATACCGCAAAATAATGCCTTACCAGCTATCTGGGTATTTCTTAACCCAGTCAAGTTGATGCCTAAAATTAACCATCACAATCCCAAAATTTGGGAATGAGACTGAGATACCCACATGAGTCACAGAACAGAATAAAAAGCACATTTGAAGAGTAGAAGGAATAGTCTCACTTTCACCATGTTGCCCCTCCTCCTTCCCCAAGTCGACACAGCACAACACAGAAAGAATTATTCTAAGCCAGTGGTTTCTATAGTGGGAAAAGAGTTCTAGAACTAGACATCCAGCATTCCTAGCATTCTGAGACTGAGACGCTTCCCAGGAAGCCCACTGCTGCCTAATCTCACTGGGAACATTGGGTATAACCTCAGAGTGAGGCTATCTGGGATCAGGTAGAAACAAAGAAAGGATAGAACTCACAGTGATTAGCATGTGAATCTTAGTGTCAGTTCTGTGATTCTGCCAATGATGGAAAGAGCAGCTAATAAAATAGCCCACTGGCAAAACTGACTGAGTTGATGGCTTCCAGAAGTATATTGGGAAGTTCAGTTTGCCTTAAGTCCCTAAATAACCATCCTCTATGTCCACCCTCAGAGTCCACTCCAATGCCCCTCCCATGCAAGGAGACACCAACCTCTGAGCATTTGGCAGAGAACAGGGTGTAAATCTACCCAACCTGTGAGTCCAAACAGCAATTCAGACAAGATTTAGAGTCTATTAAAAGGTCCCTCCAAGGCAGAAAAATACCCATCACTGTACATTTATGCAGAGTGCAAGGGCTAAACCTTTCTAACCTTGGAATCCAGACAGTCTCAGATCCCACTCCAAGGTCCTGTGAAGATAGGAAGACAAACTTCAGTCATAGACTCTAGACTTATTTATCCCTAGAAGCAACTCTGCCAAACCCGAAAACCCAATCTTCATCCCTTTCCAACCTCAGAAACCAAATAGTGATACTGCGTAGTGAGGAAATACACCCTTCAACTTTGACCAATAAGAGACTATTGCAGTGCCTGCCTACCCAGTGATTTTCCTGACTATAAAGCCCAGCCAGTGGTCTTGCTGAAAGGCAGAATGAAGAACCCAGCAAGGACCTCAATCTGACCTCAGAGCAAAGACAGTGACCCAGCCAACTAGAGAACCCGATAGCAAACCCTGCCTGCCCAGGATCATTACCAACTGGACCATCTAGAATCACATGCTAGATTAATGAAGGCATATCCCTGACAAAGAACACCATAAAAGCCCGAAGTGGTAACTGTCTCCTCAAATGTATGCTCAACTACACAAGTATATAAGGAGTATTTAAAAATTAGGAAATTATGACACTACTAAAAGAAACTGATAAATCTCCAACAATGGACTCTAAAGAAATGAAGACCTATAAAATAACTAACAAAAAATTCCAAATAACCCTCTTAAAGAAGATCAGAGAACTACAAAAATATATGAATAGAAAATGAGATGAGAATTAGAAAATACACAAAATGAGATGTTTAACAAAGAAATTGAAATATTTTAAAACAGAAATATTTAGAGATGAAGAATACAATAACTAAACTGAAAAATCAACAGGTAACTTCAACAACAGGCTCAATCAAGCAAAAGAAAGAATCAAAGAGCCTGAAGACAGAACATTTACAACATTTAATCAGAGAATAAATGAATAACAAAGAAAGTCTATGGAAAGTATGGGATGCCATCATAGAACTAACAATCACATAATAGGAGTTATGGTGAAAAAAATGAGAGAAAGCATCAGGAAGCATATTTAAAGAAATAATGACTGAAAACTTTCCAAGTCTGGGGAAAGATGCCAACATCCAAGTATAGGAAGTGCAGAAGTGTCCAATCAAATTCACCTTAAAGGAGAGTTCACCAAGATATGTAATAAACTATCAAAAATCAAATACAAAAAAATTGTGAGAGCAGCAAGAAATAAGAAACATATCACTTAACAAGAGAATCTCAATAGGGCTATTATAAATTTTATCAGCAGAAATCCTGCAGGCCAGGAAAGAGTGGGATAATATTTCAAAGTGCTGAAGAAGGAAAAAATACAACCAAGAATACTTTTTCCAGAAAAGCTGTCTGTTATGGTTTGAATGTGCTCCCTGCATTCATGTATTAGGAACTTAATTTCCTTAGAGTCTATAATACTCAGTGATCTATCACAGAAACAAAGAACTGAGTACTACACGTTCTCATTCATATGTGGACCCTGAACAATGATCATAATACTATAAAAAAGGGATTGGCAGTAGTGGGAAACTCCGGGGGGGGGGGTTGGAGCATGGCATACTTCATCAATAAGTGTACCTGATCTCAAAGTGGGAACCAAAGTGAGACCCAAACTCTACCTGTGTAATGACCATTTGTATATCTAATCCTAAATTGCACCCCATATCCCTAAAATAATAAAATAAATAAAAATAAGGAAATTATTCCAATGCAACAGTATTGGGAGGTAGGCCTACTAAGAGGTGAATAGGGTAAAGCTCTCACAAATGAATTAATGTTGTTATTATGGGATTGGGTTGTTATAAAAGAGAGTCTTGTGCTTTCTTTGTCTCATGAACTGGCTTTCACCTTTCACCATGCAACCATAGGATGAATGTCACCAGATGCTGGCACCATGGTCTTGGACTTCCCAAATTCAGAACCATGTAAAGCTATATAGAAATTCCTTAAAAAGAAAAAAAGAAAGAAAAGAAGTAACTAAAAATAGAATTATCATATGGTCCAGCAATCTCATTTTTGGGTGCATATCTGAAAGAATTAAATTCAATATGTTGAAGAGATCTGCACTGCCATGTCCATTGCAGCCGTATTCACAATTAAAAAGAAGGAAATTCTGTCATTTGCAACAATATAAATAAACCTGGAGAACATTATGCTAAATAAAATAAGCCCAGCACAGAAAAACAAATACTGCATGATCTCACTTATATGTAGAATCTAAAACTATTGAACTCATAGAAGTAGAGAATAGAATAGTCATTACCAGAGACTGGGGGGAGAAAGAATGGGGAGATGTTGGCTAAAATGCACAAAGTTTCAGTTAGACGGGAGGAATATGGTTTTTGAGATCTATTGCAAGCACAGTGATTACAGTCAACAATGTATTGTATATTTCACAATCGCTAAGAGTAAATTTCAAATGTTCTCATCACAAATAAATGGTAAGTATTTGGAGTGATGGCTATGCTAATTAGGTTGATTTAATCATTGCACATTATATTCATATATATAACATCATTCTGTGCTTCATGAATATATACAATCATGACATATAAGTTTTACAATAAAAATGAAAATAAAAGGAATAAAGTACTGAC